ATTAGCTTTACATTTACTTAGATTTGTACTACAAGATCCTAATTAGTTTGCTTTGGGAGCAATCTTTTCTATAAATCACACTAACTGGTACCATAAGACTATGATCGAACTGGTATAAGACAAGTTAAGTCAAAATTAATTGTTACAGTTTCTGTAGGGTAACATTAGAAGATGTAGCTATTAAGATGTCTGTAGAATATAAATCTATGTAGCCAATTATACATCTTAGTCAATAGATATTCCACACTTATGTGCCATCTCTCTTCTCCTGGTTCCTCAATGCATAAGAAAAAAATACAAAACTGTGTGAAGTTTTAGGAGTTACTGAAACAGTGTTCGTAGTTTCTCTTGCACTTCACAGTTAAATCATGTTTAGTGCTCATCCAGGTTTCAGAAATACAGCAATCAGTGGTTTTGTAGTGCACAGAACCAAAAGCAGTCAGTTACAAAAGGCAGCTTTGATAAAGGTACTTTATTTTTCCTGCCTTCTAAAATGTTTTAACAACTACCGAAAAACATGGCAGCAATAGGTAAAGTGTCTTTTAAAGATACTGGAACAGTGTTTTCAGGGGAAAAATACTTGGTTATGGAAAGAAATATATTTAACAATAAAACCCATCAGCTGGCAAACCTTTAGAAAACTGAGACATTCAAACCTTTCAAGACACAAAGTACACTTCAACAAAAAGCATGAGACAAGAACCTGCAGTTAATTTGCCCACCTCTTGTGACTAAACCACCACAATAAACGCTACGACATTCAAAGAGATTCAGAAAGAAACAGCATTTTGAGAGGAATATACTGTACAACAACGTAACCAAATGCGCAACAACTGCTTCTCCATTAACTAGAGCATGTGAAGAAAGACTATGGATTCAAGAGAAAGGCCTGTCAAGAGTAAGCCTGTGATCTGGTAAGAAAGCAGATAAATACAGCAGAGACAGTGATATTTCACAGCTTAAGAGCTCTGTTTTTAGGAAGAGGTTCTAAACATTTAAATTGCTCCTTTCCAGAAGGGCAGACACACAGACTGCTTTCTTTACTGCAGATGTGAACCTCTATTCTTCCTGCAGTACACAAATTTGAAGGGAACATTAAAACATCTACTTAGGCTCCAAATACAATTACATGGTCTATTAGTTGGTCTGTATCTGCTTAAGCTGCTTTTAATCTAATGCCATTTCCTATTGCTAGTATCCATCTTTGAAGGATTCCTTCAACCATATTGGACTCAGTCTCTTGCCTTGGACACAAGAGTTTTAGGATAGTCTCAAGCTAGTAAGCATGTTATTCAGAGCTCACACACTAAAAAAGACTCAAAGATAACCCTTGTTATTTTTGAATCTAGACTTACAGATACCGCTTCTACTCTTACCTTAATTACCGAGCTCTACTTCTAAAAGCTATTTCTACAGTGTCTTCATAAATTTCTCCTTCAAGTTTGGAACCCCAGATCATTACACAGCCACGGAAACCACTTCTTTCACAACTGTCTTCACCTTGAGTTGAAATATCTTATCTCCAGCTCCATCCACTACTATTTTTCCCTTCAAATAGCATTTCAGGCATGTGCAGGTACAGCTACTGGATTCTTTTAACCTCAGGCTCTGGTTTTCCTCTAATCTCCAAATTATTTGTAGTTTAAAAGCAAAGTCTTTTGCTTCAGAAATTCAATTCTTTATTTCTTTTTTAAGTCATGAACAGATTTATAGGTCAACTGGAGCTCTCCAGAATACTTTCAAATAGCTATTCTCACAGGAGGTGCAATCTCAGAGCTGAGACAACACTGGACAGGCTGTAAATAACAAGATGATACAAGTCCGCAGGATTACATAAAGCCTGATAGCATCAAAGCAGCCTAGGACTTGAACACAGGTAACACCAGTCCATCATTCCACAATGAGGAGGTGAGATTTAAGGATAACAGATTCATTATCTTCCCATACTTGTCTCTGTTTTTATTAAAGTATCAAGAACTTTATCCTCCCTGAGCATTCAAGATAAAACCTAATGCAAGTTTTCACTTACTGTGCTTGAATGTTGTAACTGACAATTGAGATGTTTATCACAATCATCATTATGGTGAGACCACATCACAAAGCCAGAAAATCAAAGTAATCATTGGTTTAATTTCGTGCGTGACACCCCACCCCATAAGACAACAGGTTTTCTCTTACCAGAAGAACACTGGTTCTTAAGTGAGATTCTGGTGATCTGAAGAGGAATCTTCCACAGGTTTCCAGCAGAGTACAAGCCATTTCAATATGGTGATGAGAAAAATCTGACAGAAGCATCTGGTATATATTTATATAAAAATACAGCATGTTAAACATCTTTTTCGACTGCAGAAAACAGTAAGTTACATCTACCAGACAGCACACTACTGTAGTGTTCCATGTTCTTTCAGAGAAAAAAAAAAAAGATGCAAATTGATTTCACTGGTCAGATGTTCACAAAACTAAAAATATTTCTCATTAAAAAAGTATTATAAGAAGAGTTTGGAATCCAAATTAAGGCTCCAGAAACCTGAAAAACAGGATGCTTCCTAAGCCTAGCATGAAGAGACTACGATACTGAAACAAACTCTTATAATCTTCCCTATACCACGTCCAACTCTGTCACATCTGCTTTAAAATTCCTGTTGATAGACAGGAAAACCATCAAATAATACTGCACAAGGACACAATAACCTCAACGCACGTCTAAATTTAATTACATTAAGTTAAGCAGCAGCTGAAAATTAACAAAGTTTCGCCCTTTTCAATATTTTGTAGATGGGAGGAAAAAAAAGAAAGATGATCAGATAATCTTTATAAGAATTCAGCTTTGATACCTGAGTCAACAGGTAACAAACTATTCCCACAGGAAGTGATCTTAACCCCTGAGTCTTCAACCACCTATATAAAACATGCTTTTATCTTTTAAAACCCATTTTTAATCTGGGACTTGACTCAAAGACAAGTTTGAATGTTTATCAGCATGCAAACTGAGATGATATGCCTGAAGATTAATGCTTTCCAAAGGTTTGGTTTGTTCTTCAATGAACAAAAGCACCTGCTAAAATGGCATATGCTTCTCCTTGCATCACTGAAAAGCCTTCCACTCCTAATGCCCTCCTCTTACTGTTGTGTTCTCTGTAGAAACATTAATTGTAATCAACATAATGAAATCTTTGCAATGCATAGCAGATGAGTAAGTAGCAATATTTCTACAATCACAACACTAACCTTTAAGCAGTGGAGAGTATCGTTTTTGGAGAACATCTTAAACTTGGTAAGCTCGCCAATGAATCTCACAGCTTTATTCTTTGTTTCGATGTTGATCTGGTCCTTTTTTCTTACCTAAAAAAAGAATGCATTTGAACGTAGGCTCTTAAAAATACCCACCTCTTAGAATTTACTTCAACACACATCTGTGTAATACTTTAGGAATAAGGCAATGTTTGGTATTTATTTACTTCCTTATGCTCTACCTTTAGCTATCATCAGGTTTCCTAAAAGTCTCTCTACAACCCTGTTTCTTCAGAAGCTTTCCAATTTCTTTCCCAATCCCTCCACTCCCCCCCCCAAAACCACCCACCACACATCAACCTGGCCAACCCCCTTTACCACAATGAAGTAGTAGTTATGTATTCTAGATTCTGTATTTTTAGAATCATTAAGTAGTCTCTAAATGAATAGGACCACCTAGTCCCTAAGGAAATATTAAACACTGACAGCTTTTCAAGTCCAGTTTAATAACGTGCAGACTACCCCTTACCCCTCCTCTCTTTTTTTTTTCTTTTAAAATTACTGATATCCAGTATAATTTTATTACCAATGTAGAAATCTATGTCTAAACATAACCCGCAAAATGCAAACCTGTATTTCTCCCCAAAAGAAATAGCTTTTCCTGAGTACAAACAGTTAATTTCAGATGGTTAGACTTAAATAAGTCTGTAACTAAGAGCAATTCATACACATTCTAAATGTCAGTATTAGAAAGAAGATCACCACAGTGATGATTCCTTCACTGGTTTCCAAGTTTCATGCAATATTTTTATGCCATATAAAACATGGAAAGCAGTGAATGAATCACCACTGTGCACAGTAACCAATTTCATTAATAAACCTAGAACAAAATGAAAGAAACAACACTGAAAACGTATTTGTGAGGAAAATTTTGGTTGATGAAAAGAATAAAAAATAACTGACTTAAGCACTACAATAGCAAGCACTAGATTACAGCAGTAACCTTGTAGTGGGGAAAGTGTTGTTAGAATAGGTCAATTCTCATTTCAAATGCAAGTTATTAATTTACAGAAAACTCTTAACACAGTTGGAGCACAGTTTTTGCAATTTGGTTTAGCTGTTGCATATATATATACACACTAATGCATATGGTAAATTGTAAAACAATTTTGCTTTAAAATGTATGAATGCAGTATTTGAGAATAAATCCACTTGGATGATAGAAAAACATTCACTGGATTTCAAAATTAGCACCTACATAATATCAAACATTATTTATTCCCCAAAGGATGACTATTATCAGATTGGTTAATCTGAATGCAAACCACTGAATCAACAAAACATACATGAAATCTGAAGTCCCCTTTCAGCGTGGAACAAAGATCCTCTGCTACATCAGACATACAAGGATGCAATGTGGCAACCAGTCTTGCATAAAACGGTAGCAAATCCAACCTGCAACAGAGGAGATGGTAGAACAGACAAGCAATTCATAGACAAAAATGTATTTATGTCTGTAAGTATGGTTACAATTTTACTTGTGAAAGGAATGAGTGTGCATATACCAACAGAACTACTACTACACGCAATTTTATGGGCTCACACTTCCAAATGCAATACTATTTAAAAACAGCAATATAAGAAGGTATGTTACCCCATCCTACTGGAATCCTTCACAGCTCATTTCCTTTCAAAACTACTGCCTCGGGTGAAATGCCAAACACCATCTCAGCTACAGAATTTGACCTATAAGGAATTACCAGATACAAAGAGAATCCTGATGCCTCTCAATAAGCAAAATGAGAAGTTCTTACAGATGACTCCATTTGCTACTGCTTTTATTTCTCTTCTCTGAGTATCAGCAGACATAACCAGGAAGGTAAGAACATCTTTATTTTTAAGGCAGTGAACTTCTAAGTGAAAGTAGTAGTTATTACATAAACCAAAGCTCAGCAGATGGCAATTTGTGTTCTCTTTAGGTTATACTTTGTTTCTTTCCATTAAAGACTATCTCGTTGTAAAACCCAGATAAATGCCCTTAAACCTGGTTTGTGGCATCATGTAACAGGACACAGAATGTAGCACAACTGCTTTGCGTAAATGTGCAGGTACCGCTTTTAAATGCAGAGAAACCAACTGCTCTCTGAGGCCTCCTAATAGCATTTAACAAACTGAAGAAGGTATTTTTAGTTTACTTTCAGAACATAAGTAAATGCTGTCAACAGATGAACCATAAAACAAGTTTTAAGTGGAGAAACACATGTTAAATTTGCATGCTGCAAGTGAAAAATTGCCTGTAAGGGGAAAATGGATCTGGAATTTACACTTTATGAAGGGTTCAGGTTTTCCCTTACTGCTAGGGAAAAAAAATGAAAAAGAAAAGAAAGGAAAAGAAGAAATCTAAAAGCACAGATTTTAGATTTAAATACGTCTTGCTCTGGCACAAAGTAAAACCAGAAAATCAAATCAAAACTAAAGCATGCACAACTGCCTCCCTTCTCCTTTCTACAGCTATGCCACTAGAGCAGGTTTCCAAGATCTGTAATATCCACTCACAACAAGAGGGCTAATTATGTAGTTAATGTGTGGATCAGAAGAATCAGAATATACTGCCTGAAAGAGGCAGAGGTAAGCAGCCTCCTCGTAATCCCTAAAACTCCTGGTGAAACATTACAGGTATGCCAGTTACCTATTTAACCTTTTTCATTCTCTCTTGTTAATCAATAACTGAAGCAGTGTTTACATTTTTCAAGCCTGTTGGAACACACAGTCAAGGGTGACTAGCCATAGCAAATTACTGCAATGTTATTAAGCATTTAGCCATTAACTCTCGGAGAAGGGAAAGTCTTATTACTTCACATAAACAAACAAAAGCTGAACTAGAGAAAGGACTTGGGCTGAAAGGAGGGGATTTCTGCATGGCACGTCTTTTAAGACAAGTAGCAGAAAGCTTTATGCTGAACAAGCACCTGCCTTCTGAGAGCTAATAATTTCATCTCTGTAAACTGAACATACCCAAGGGGAAATTAAAGTCTCAGAGCACATTGCTGTTATTCCCTCACAGAACACAAAAGGTTTCTTCATGGGGATGAATGCTAAGATTGGGTGCTTTGAAACAGGTGAAATATAATAAGGAAAAACCTTGGGTCAGTTACTGTGAAATTGGCAATCGGAGATGGAATCCATTCCCTTTCACAGGGGAGACAAAAATTCCTGTTCAGAAGTGGAGAGACTGCAGTATCAGTGGCACCATCTACTGGTACCTGCATTAAGGCCAACCCACGTTTTCTATTTTCTCCAAAAGCATTTTTTCTTCTTGAGAAGTTGTGCAGAAATTAACTAGGATGACCACAAACCCCATAGTGTTGCCTTCTCTTCCTGCTCTTGTATGCTATGAAGTAAGACCTAGCATCAGTAAACTATCACAGTAAAAGAACATTTCTTCTGACCATTACCATTTAGACCATACACCTTGTAATTTAGTCAGCTCTGGACCTCTGGATCACATGGACTGCACTTCAGTGAAATACTTAAGAGCACATCTTTTAAAACCCAAATCCCCAAACTTTGCTCAATTAAAGTCCTAGCTGCAAACTCTAGAATGGTAGCATCCAAAATTTTATACCTAGGAGTGAAGGGGGCATCTTGGACATTTATTAAATGGGATTCTACCAGAAAGACGGTTTAAAGTATGAGGTAATGGAGCAAGAACTCCTGCCTCACAAGCAAATCCACATCCAGACAAATGCAGTATATTCACTGGGCTTGAACAGGTACAAACTGCTACCAGCACTGCTCAGTGAGAAGAGATGGATGTTGTGGAAGTGGCATGCTACCAGGTAAGCACTTTTTTTCTTTTGTTTTGTACCTGTGGCATGAACTCCTCGATCTCAAGCACATCTCTCAATTTTATCATTGAATGAGACAGGCCACTGAAATACTGGTAAGTCAAGTTCAGTTGAACAGAAAGGACCTTGCTACTGAGGATTCTCAGGATAAAGAGCTGAAAGGGGGTTTACAACTCCTGAGCTAAAATGCTCAGAACTATTTAAACACTTAAGCTGCAGCCAACTTCTGAATTAAGAACCAAGGATAATGCTAAACCTTCTGTAAGATGAACAACAGATCTCTTACTAAATGTGCAACTTCATAGACCACCATGAATGGGGATGGCAAAAAAAATGAGAAGCCGCAACAGCTCCTATCTGCTGTTTAGCATTTGTCTACAATTGTTTAGAAGGCCTAAAAAGAGATCTTAAATTGCAAAACTGCAGTATGCAGCTAGACAGATCCATGTGTATCTGTAGAGGAAGATAATGCAGTTCAAGAGCAAAGTACGCATAAACGCCTTCAAGCTGTGAGTAGTATATGTTAAATTACTGTGCTGTCACTTTAGTGCAAACTATATAGTCCTGAATTAAAAAGTTAATATTTAGTATTAAACCAACCCTCTAATACAAACCTGAAAGCCACTTGTATATTAGCACTGAGAAGAAATCTTTTTAAAAGGCTTTCTGTTCTGTTGTGTTAGAGGTTCAAATCACAGCTGAAAATGTAAATGCGATCCATTCATAAGTATTCAGCAGAGCAGTGCAATGATGTATTCTAACACTAATCCACAGTTAGTTGAGGAAAAAACATCCCCTTTTGTCAAATTAAATTTTCTGTCTCTGTATTTGTCCCAACCAACCCAACCTTAGTGGAAGCAAGAAACTCTACAGCAATACTACACAATGACTTCGACTTTACAGTGTCTGCATCGCTCCTCAAGCACGAAACCAGTTTTGTACTTTCTTAGTAAAACTGTCGTGCCTGCATGTATTTCCTAAAACTGATCTCTCAGGAGAAGAAACAGAACTTACTCTGTTACTGAAACATCTTATTATGGCTGATAACATACTATCTAGACTTCAACAGCATTATTGGATATGCTTGAAGACTAAATGCTTTTGGAAAATACACTGCTTTATCTACATCCTATAAGGACGCTGTTCCTCTGAACCTCTTGCAAAAGGAGCCCCCAAAACCTCCTAAAGAACATAACCACAAAAAGCTTTCTCCTTCCTTGGTATCCTGGAGAGATTGCAGAAACTACTGGAATTCATAGTAAAAACCAGGATGCAACAACAATAATGGAAGGCAAAGGCATATCATATGGCTCAGTGAAGAGATACATAAAGCAAAACCATAGTTAATGCAGAGTATACAAAGCTTAGAAACAGTGGGTTTTAATTTTCTAAATAATTTTGTAGCGCTTTATAGCAACCATTACTACCATGTGCCATACAGACACCTGGAGTTTTTCCTACAAGGATTGTAAATAGTGATTTCAAGACAGAAAGTGGAACTGCTCCTTTACCAGCTGCAGAAATAAAGCTAATGTAAATATTAGTATAGACTGCCCTTTAAAATCGTGTGCATCTATGGGCAATGCAGCTGGTACTTCCATGGCAACTGTTTGTGGCTCAGGACAAGAAGCTCAGTCAACATCCTATTTCTCCTGCTTAGTAGCCCAGAGATGGGCATCAGTACTGCAGACAAGAGAAGAGGCAGATATATAAAACTGAACTTAAGATCTTACAGCTGGAAGCTGGAGTATTTACTAGCCCAGCAGGTCTCAGAGCAGACAGCAGAAAAAGATATTAAAAATAGAATTGTACATTAAATATTAATATTTCTTAATAGTAATAATTAATATCTATAAGAAAAACCATGAGCAATCAGCTGAACCATTTGCTTCAGTATTAGTTCCAGCTATTAGAGAACAGAACGGTCACAAAGACAGCAGCTCCTTGAGGCAACCACACCATCTATACTAGTCTGAGGTCCTACAGAACTGTAGATGTCCTAGGCTATGAAAAATGCTCTCAAATTGTGTTTTGATGTATTTCACGATTAGCATTTCTATTTATCAGCCTGCTGTTATTTCCTCTGCATCGTAAAACTGGACTGAAGAGCACCTTGTTACCTCTAACACAGAAGATACTCAACTCCCTACCTCCTCTGTCAGTAACTCATATTTCAGGCACAGTCAGGACCCTGTCAAAGTCTCCACAGACTGAGGTGTCAAAACCATAACTTTTTAGAGAAAAGAATACATGAAGAGAAAGATTATGTGCAACTTCTAGTTGCAAAAGCTAGTATCAACATAGAGTCAGGTTAATGCATAGAGTGAGCAAACAAACCACTGGTTTATATCCAGCAAAGAGAGCAATGTTATTAGCACAGCAGACACTTATTACAGATGGGATGTACAAATAAGCTAGAATTAAGGTTGAAAACACAGTGCAAGAAGTGATTAAAAGTAATGAAAACAAAACACCAGAACCTGTTTATTCAAAGCAGTTTTCTACACAAGCCTTCAGACAACACAGACACTCAAATTGTATTTCCACACCCCCCACTAGTGTTAAAAGGCATGGAATCAAAGTAGTGTGAACTCTTAACAGGAAATCCAAGATGATGATGAAACATAGAAACTAAAAGCAGCATCAAAACAACCTCACAGGAGAAACAGGGTGAGGTGGAGCAAGAAAAGCAACTCCCTCGTAATTGCACCTATTTAAATCGCGCCTCTTTAAGGTACAAGTTTACCAGAGAGGAAAAAAAAACACATTATTCTTCCAATGAATTTAAAAGTTTCATTTTAATATTTGCACTCATTTTTGTAAGCAAGGCTCTTTTTCTGTGTGTAGGGCCCTCACACAGGGAGACACAAGGAGAAATAGCAAAACTCTAAAAGGACAAATCTACATGGACAGAAGAGGCCAAGCTCCAGCTTTTATACTTGCTTTCTCTAAACTGGCTGGCCTAGAATCAGTGCTGCTCCAGAAGATGCAAGATACATATTCTAGAAGATACATAATAGCTATGTAATATATCAGAATTAACATACCACAAGAAATCCTCCTTCCTGAACTACATTGTGCTCTAACTATTCATAGGTTCTTACACAAAATAAGTGCAAGTTCTCCTGAACAAAATATATCCTCTTTTGCTACAAGGTAAGTTTTGCTGTTGTTTTCACGGTTAAAAAGTCGTGAAAAGATCCACTATAAACACACAAGTACCAGAAGACAGAAACTAATATTTTAAAAAAGAAATTATTAAAGCAAATTTACACTGCTATGGCAAAATACTGTGGGGAATTCCTTGATCATTAATGCATAAATCACTCCTGAAGTGCACCTCAGGAATGAACAAATGCAACTTGGAATATACACTGGTTTTCAGTAACTTAAACAGTTACAAATCATATACATATGTATGTTAAATAACCAAAGCGTGGATCCATCTTACTCTCCTTCAGTTCTTACCTTTGCCTAGGAACTATGAAAAGTGCTCGTACGAGTTTTCTTCTGTTGGCTTTTGTATTCATATTCATGCAAAAATCCATTGCTGCCTGTAAAGAGGAAAGTCAATGGAACACTTCACCTTTACTGCAATATGCTTTTATTTAAAGTAATACAGCATGCTTTCCAAAAGCATCTTTATGGAGTTATTCCTGTTACATGCAGCTGCTTTATGAACAGCCATAAAGAAAAGTCTTCCTTTATGTCTAGAACTGACATAGCTGCAAAACAAGTCCAGTTGATTTTTTGGATCAACACAAGGAAGAAAACAGCTTTTGGCAGATGGGGAGTAATCTGTCAGAGAGGAATGGGAGGAAAATAGGAAAAAGCCAAGTTTACTTCTAAACCAAACTAACACGTAAGAAAAAACAGGCAGACAAAAAAAATCAGTATCAATCACATGGTGCCTTGGCAATTACTGATTAAGTGAGGGATAAAAAGGTTTTCTCCAAAGTAATTACTTTAAATATAGTTCAGCTCCTGAAGACTCAAAAGCTTTAAATCTTTGCTTCCAATCTATTTGATCTAGCATTACCCTTAAGAGTGAATAAAAATGAAAAGTATACCTTGTCTATGAGATCTCTGTTGACACAGTTTGGAAGCTGCTGAAGGAAAGCATCTACTATAAGTTTTAAATGAGATCCAGTACTGGCTTCTTCATCCTCTTGTTCTAACAGAGTGAAATAAACAAGCAGCACACATCTTTAAGCTATAAAATATTGCAATTTATGATCGTATCGCTCAAACATTTGTAATGTTTAGCTGTTAAATATTCATTCACGGATTCAAACATATATATAGGGATAATATATAAAGATGAATATAAAATATCTTTTTTAATGAAGAAAAATATCCATTTATTGCTTTTGCTAACTAAAGTCAAAAGTAAACTTGTCTTCCTATTCATGAAGTTCCCTGCCTCCTACCTTATACTGTCAAGAGCAACAAGAAATCTATATTCCTAGAAAACGATCGTAATTTCTTTAGATGATAGAAGGATGATCACAAGAAGGCCCAAACATGGGGGGAAACAAACCAAACCACCTTAATTCAGCTGTAGACTCTACGTTTTCTTTATGTTTGTCCTGCAGAAGAAACAGGATTTTTGACCAAAAGCATCCATTAAGGCTATTCTTTCATCCAGTATGCTCTTGACATCTTTCCACATTAGCTTGTAAAACCTAGAGGCCAACTCAGTTCCTTCAGCAGTGCTGAAACCAGAGCCTAGAACCATAAAACAACATGGATGGAGGGCTGATCATGCAGCAGCTGCAAGACAAGTGGTAACTTGTTTTTCAAGCAGGTGCTTCTGTGGAATTTGCAACACAGGAAGCAGCAACAGTGACCTGTGTCTACTGATCGAGGCCCTAACACTACTCAAGTAGAAGACTGTAGGACAACTCTGCCACTGGAATTCAGCTTTTCTGACATCTGCTCTGAAGACCTCACCAGAGCAATCCCCCTACAGTTATCCTCTAATTGCAAAATTTGTGGTATGCTTACAAAACTCTTCCAGATTTTAGCAAGTCCTAGAAAAGAGTTTAGTTTCCTCTATAGCACAACACAAGCCAAAACAAGCTGCAACACAAACACTTGGGAAAAAGTCTTCCTTGGCCAAAGTAACACAGAAGAACGCTGCTTCCTACAAAAGGAACACGATGAAGCTTGGTTTTCTTTCTGTTTGAGGATGTTCAGCAGTAACAGGAATACCCAGGAAAGTATTCATGTGGTGGAAATCACACCCAAATAACCTACAAAATACCCAACATCTGGTAAATTCATTATGTCTTTAAAGGCTACATGATAAGATAAACCAGCATGAAGACTCAAGTTCATTCTTCAAGTTGCTGAAAGGGAAACAGATAACTACTATAGGGGGAAAAGATGCTACCTTGGAGGACCATTTTTTTTCTTGTTTCTGGAAACTGTTAGGGGCAGGGGTTAAACTTAGGCAGAGAAATGCTAAAATCTGTTTCAACGAACACTGCAAGCTACCCAGTCTTGAAGGTGCTAGAGATTAAAGCAGATGGCATCACTTCCTCCTCCTCCTCCTCTCTGACTAGAAGTCAGAAGAGCAAGAGAAGGGTTCACTAAGAAAGGAGAGAAAAAAAAAAAAAAGGAAGCTGTTCCAGATGCTCAACAAGAGGACCATGAAGTTTTAAATGCTTAATGGAACCCTGACTCATCACCTATATACATCAGACTTCACTAGGATGCATACAACAGCTCAAACAAGACAATTTTTAGTAGCAAATCTCATTTTACTGCATTCTTCCATTTAGGTATTTACAGCCACACCATACTGTTTGCCTCTAATGTTCTTTTATCTTCCCCTTTTTCCTTTACAGCAGTTAGCTGTCTCACCTCAATCTTCTATTCAAACTGACTCACAGTTCTTGAAATCAGTTTAAAGAAGTCTTTGACATTTCAGCCACTATTCAAGGCAATCTTTCAAGAGCCCCTTTTATCACACTGAATTTCAACAGTTCACAAATGTATCTCCCCTTTCACTCGTCCTCTCCTTCACTGAGGGCCAAAGATACTCTCATATTTTATTTCTTTCTCATTGCAGCATGTGGATCCTTTCTAAGTGGAAAGGCTCTTTTCTTTTAGTACCTGAAGCAGGTTTGAGACTTAAGACAAGAGTTTTACAGTGACAGGAAATGAAACAGCCGGGGATTCCACGTCTGCAATTCATGTGAAAAAATCAGTTAATTTCTTGCTTTCACTTTGATCCTCTTGAGTTTCAGTTTTCCGGTAACAGCACATTTTAAAACTGCATTATCTCTTTTAAAAATTCACTACAAGTAGTAATGTACAATCATTACTTAGACTATTCATAACGGTCTATCTGGGTGCAGATCAAGTCATGCAGCATAATCACTGTAGACAATGAAAGAAAAATTACCTTTTCTGTTTAAACACCTTTATATTTACCAGAAATGGAAGTAATGATGCAGCTTCCAGGGAGTAGAACTGAGGAACCATCAGAAGATGCTAAGGACTTACTGGAGTGATTCCCCTGCAACGATTGGTGCCAAACAATCTTCTGCTTCACCAAAACTACTTGTTTGCCTTCCCCCCTCCCTACACACATACCTTCTGAGAGAGCCCTGGTTCCTTTCATGTCAACATCATTTACTAAACTATAACCCTGCAGAGGGCTTTCTCCTCGAAACCCCACTCTGCCTGAAAGGTTCAGTCTACTTTCTACAGTGTCACCCAGACACTGGAAGCAAGGCAAGTGCTTTTGTAATGTCTGGAGCTATTCCTCTGTGAGACAAGGTTCTGAAATGAATTTGATCACACAGGAGCCCTTGCATCCTGATGGTACAAACTAAAACCGTGAACAAACACTTGGCCGGATCCCCCTCTCTGCACAACACTTGGCATAAGCATAGTGTTAAACATCTTGTTGAATAAAAGCCTGAGGAATGTATTCAGAATCTAGTCTCACAAGTAAAAAAAAACATTTCTTAGTTAATAACTTCAGATCTGTTTTTAAATTCATGCTCTTCTGATAGGAACTCTGCAAGCTCTTTAAACAGTGTAGCAAAGTTAACAGGGTTGTCTTCATACTCACTTCTACACATCCATTTCTGCTGCTGACAAACCTTACAAAAACAGGCACTAGGTATGTATTAACATCAGATGACTCCTGCTCCCGGTACCCTTGATGGCTTCCACCCTGGCCATTCCTTACTTAACATCTTTGTCTCCATTCACACAGCTTCATGTTTAACATTTTATCTTCTCTTTCAAAAACAACCTCAAAACTCACTTCTTTCAGCATGTTTGCGGTGACTATTTGCAGCTCCGGTGCTATCTGCTCCCTTTCTCTTCCCTGAGCATATTAAAAATAAGAAAATTAAGATTCACTCAAAGTTAACACAATAGAGAAACAAAATAAATTACCTAAATTCCTAGTAAACAAACCTCTTCAACTAAGTGCATGATGTAAAACTTTCCTTTTATACGGCATACCTTAAACTTAGCTGATTATAGTCTCTGACCTTTAAGAAGTAAGTGTAGGCACAAGCACTGCAGTGCTGTGAAGGATGCTACACCAGCAGAGACCTGCTTTGAAAACACACGTTGGAAAACTGTCTTGTCTCCCTCATACCGAGCTTCTTCAGCCTGGAAAGGAGAAGGCTCCAAGGAAACCTTAGAGCAGCTTCCAGTCCCTAAGGGGACTGACAAGAAATACAGAGAAGGACTTTTGACAAGGGTCTGTAGGGACAGGACAAGGGGATATGGCTTTAAACTGAGAGGGGATATATAGATGAGGTAGAAGAAATTCTTTTACTGTGGGGGTTGTGAGGCGTTGGCACAGGGTGCCCAGAGAAGCTGTGGCAGCCCAATCCCCAGCAGTGTTCAAGGCCAGGCTGGCCAGGACTTGAAGCAACCTGCCCTAGTGGAAGGTGTCCGTGCCCATGGCAGGGGGGTGGAACTGTATGAGCATTAAGGTCCCTTCCAACCCAAATCAGTCCGGGATTCTATATTTGGACAGGCAGAAAAGACTGAAGTGACAGAAGGTGAT